TATATTTTGGAAATATTTTTAAAATATGGTAATAACTAATAAATCATCATTAAAATAAATATATACCAATATGGCATTAAAATTTTCGAAAATATCATTTAATTATATATTTTAAAACTATACAATTTTATTACAAAAATTTCAAAAATGTATACATTTTTGAAAATTATTAAAATTTAGTCGTAAAATTATTAATTTCTTATATATTTAAAAATTTAATAAATATTGTCTAATTTTAAATTTTCATAATTATAAAATTTTCTACAAATTTATTTAATATATTTAATTAAAATAAATAGAAAAAAATTATCTAAGATTATAATTTCAAATATATACATGTGTATTCTTAAATATAATTTAAAATAAAAAAAATATTTTTATATTACTTTTTATGTTTGATTAAAAAAATTTGTATTAAAATAGATAAGAAAAAGAACTCATAAATTATCATTAAGGTAATAAATAATATAATAGTAGAAATATAAATATAATAATATTCAAAATATTGAAATATTTTTAAGTGTATTTTTATAGTTATATATTTTTTATTAATAAATTTTGTTTTTCAAAATTTGATGCAGGTTTTTTAAAAATTAAAATTTTCTAATCCCAATACCATTAGCTTTATTTATAACATCTATAAATTTTAGAAATATAATTTATTTTTATATTTTGATAATTATATATCTAACAAAATTTTCTTTTAATAGTATAGAATCTGATTTAATATAATTTAACCAAAAGATAAAAGATACATATATATTATTAAATATAAATTTAAGAAAAAAAATTTAAGATATACCTAAAAAAAGTTTTAATGACAAATATAGACCTTAAAATAAAATGACAAAGATAGACTTTAATGTTTTATCAAAAACAAGTAAATATACACTTGTATCATTTGGATTAATTAATCGTAAACCTTTTTGTTTAAAGTTGAGGAGTGGGGTTTTGAGGATAGGATTACAATTTTTTTTTTAAAAAAGTTGAAATTTTCAAAATAAAAAATGCTATTTTGGTTATTTTAGTTTTAAGATCTATTTTTGTGAAAAAAACCTAAAAAAGTTCTATTTGATAGAACTGTTATATATTTAAATAAAATTGTTTATTTTCTCTTAACTTTTACATATAATTAATGTAAAATTAATAATATAATAAAATAAAAAAATTAAAAATTAATTAAATTTTATTTTAAAATTTACATTTATTTTAAAATTTTTATTTCTGCACATGGTGCAGGATACCACCTAGTTATAAATATATATACACGAGATGTTCGGCTTTAGGAAATGGTAATGAATAAAGATAAAATGACTAAAATAGCATTAAAAAAGTTTTTGTCACAAGTATAACATTTAAAGATAAAAATGACGAAAATAACATTTAAATGTTTTATTAAATATGCATTTTTATCTTTTGGGTTAAATAATTCTAAACTTTTTTGTTTAGAGTTGAGGAGTGAAATTTTGGGGATAGGGTTTCAAATTAAAAAAATAAAACTTAAAATTTTCAAAATAAAAAGTGCTATTTTAGTCATTTTAATTTTTGAGATCTATTTTGTGATAAAAACTTGAAAGATGACTATATAAGAGAATTGCCCATGAATAAACCAATACTATTAAGTTCTAAACGATTAAACAGAACCTGAGTTTTCCAAATATCCAACCACAATACAGAAGTGTGCCGAAATAGTGGAACAATTCACCTAATAATAGTATTATTACTTCGATAAGTGTAACTTCGAAGACTTAGATTGACCAAGTCATTAATTTGCTTTGTCAGTACGGCACCTCATTGGACCAACAGTTTCAACTATTCATGCATTATTTAACTTAATATTACGTACTATTGTGCGTTATTAATAGACTAATTTACATCCACAAAAAATAATTTCAAATACATTAAAAACGCACAAGTCATAACAATGATTATTCGAGTACCTGCCATTTACATTTTAATAAATTCTGCAATCAAAGAGGCAGAGACATGCATGCCGAAACCAGCATTCCTCTTCTGACTTCTCATCCACAATCTTTTAGCTTTTTGAATCCTAAGGTGATAAATTATTTTATCATAGTTAAGAGCAAATAATGTAAAGTATAGGTTGATATTCTTATAAAAATTTAGATCTTATAGATCAATTATTGGTGGTGTGTATATGTCTTTATTTGGTACGTTATGTAACTTCATATATTGTCGACCATTAAGAAACCTAAAATATATTCCATGCATGTATATAATTCGGATTTAGAAAAAAAAAAAATGTATATATTTGGAACTTAAGTGTTATCATTTTTTTTTTCCTTAAGAATCAAACTAATATGGTGCATTTATAATATCGGATGGCGCGGTGCTTTTTGGTTTTGGTTTTGGGAAATATGAAGACCAGTATTTTTTTCTCTGCAGGACCATTAATTTATGTGTAGTGGTTAGCGACTTCCAAGTCTAAAATTCAACATTTGAATCAAAATCTGTCAGCGAAATTACATGCGGGATGTAAGAATAAATAAAGTTACATGAAATTCGTCCAAAAAAACAAAATAAAGTTACATGAATATATGTGCTGCGGGATTAAGAATAAATATAGTTACATGAATATATGTGTTTCTCTTAAATTCATAAGTAATGTTATTGTTACAAAATAGTGATGAAAACTCATACCCCTCTATTTTTCAAAAGAATGTTTTTTTGGTTTTTTTCTTGTTTTAAAAAATTGTTCCTAGTTAGTTTAATACTCCTAGAAAATTTTTAATGTGAGAAAACAATATATATATAAGTAAACGTTGTGTGAAATGTCTAGAAAATAATTCGTTATGAAATAGAGAGATTATCATACTATTTCAGTATTTCTTCTCTTTTATTTTGAGAACATATCATATTACTTATCTTTCTTTCTTTTTTTAGAACAAAATATTATATCACTTATGCCTTTTCTCAGAAATATATATATTACTTGCGATGCTTTTTTCCCAACAATCAGGAATATATCAAATATTGTAACATGTCTTACATATTTATGAACTTAAATAACCATTTTCCTTTTATCAGAGAACGTAAATAATATATCAAAATATTGTAACATGTCTTACATATTTTTTTTCTAACGTCAACATGTCTTACATATTTATGAACTTAAATAACCATTTTCTTTTTATCAGAGAACGTGAATAGTTTATCCTGTAATATTTGATCATAGTATTTTGCATGTCGAATGGTAATTTAAGAAACTAAAACAGTTTAGATCAATGTTGTAAATATTTTGGAAAATGGCAAAATAGAGCACAGAAGTTCTAATATTAAACTTTGACAAAAATAACTATTATTATTTTAGTTTACACTGTACTATAAAGTACGCAATTCTTCTGACTGAAATAAATCTGGAGTTAATATGTTGTTATTTTTTAAACTATGCTTGGAGTGTTCTGATGCCAAGAGAGGCCAATCCAGCAAGAAGCCATGTGATCAGTGGCGTATATAAATTTATAAAACATAAGAAAGGAAAGGGATAAGGATCTAAATCATATATAAGTCCCAAATGATATCCTCAATATATGATGCTCGATAAGGACACATGGCTTCTTCAACATTTCTTTTATGCGACGAAACATGTATCCATCGGATATGTTATTGTCGACATGCCGTAACCAATATAGTTTTCTTTTTGTAGTCCACTTTTTATGATTGATTAAGTAGTTTTGAATTCTTATCTTATATCCATAATATAACTGGCTGACAAAAAAAAAATCAATAATGATATAACTAAGTACATATTGCTGTCACATAGAATTCAAATTTCAAAGTAACGAAAAGAAACCGATTTCAAATTTGCCTTTTCCAGTAAAGGCATACAAAATGAAACCTTTCTTAGTTGATGAAAAAAATAAAATGAAACCTAGAAATTGACGCCGATTCGCAAACGCTTTGATACATAAAGTTATTAAAAAATTTCAAAAATCATACATTCATACTGGTAAACCGCATTTTACTAAATCTCAAATACAATGATGTGTGTATGCAGAATGATTCAAACTAGTCTAGTATATGGAACAAAAATGAAATGCTAATTGCTAACTATGATATTGAAAAAGAACTGCAAACTTTAGAAGATGACAAAACTTCAGCTACCATACTATGATATTGAAAAGAACTGCAAACTTTATAAGAAAAAAATAATTAGTGTTTCCATTGTGGAAGCCTCCTTGATACAATAGTTTAACCAAAGGTTTACTTTCGACCAAAAAAAAAAAAACAAGGGTTTATTAATGTTTTGATATTTTGAAGAAGCTTAATTAACCATAAACATGTGTGTAGTATTTCGAAGTTAATTAAGCTTCTTCAAAATATCAAAACATTAATAAACACTGCGTTAATTCACGTTCCGTCGCTGAAGTTAATTACGCTAAACTAACAGCTAAACATACAGAAAAATAGAGCTTGCATTATCTTTTTATTCTACGAGCATAGACCATAAACATGTTGTAGTATCAATGCAAATGCAATTAATATTTTCTGGATCACGACACTGGGTTATTAGTTTAATCGATAGGTTTTGGGGAGTAACAAGCGCAGCGCCGAACAAGAATCTTCTCATCCTTCTCCTAAAATATTAAGTTTTTCTTGGGCAACACAGTTACAATAAATTATTACCATTATTGTGTAATATCTAAAAGAACGACATGTCAGTGATCCAGATCAAGATCATAATATCAATCAACATCACTTCCTCCCAAAGATTCGATGAACACCAAAATAAAAAGCGCCATCATCAAGCCGTTGATTTACAAACACAAAGACACCACCTTCATCTATCCACAGGTTGTTGGCACTTGGCACAGAAGTAACAAATATCGAAAATACTAATGTTAAGAACCTCTGAAACAAGCTTCCCATTTCTTTTAGCTCAATCAGGGTTACAGAGAAAACCGGTAACATAACCGAAATCAACATTAAACCAAAAACAAAAAAAAAGATTTACAATTTTTTTCTTTCACCCAAATATTTCAACTTTGACAAAATTTACCATCCATCTGATTCTGAACGGCTTTAACAGCAGCTACTCTAGCAGCCGTAGCAGCCTTATTAGCTGCAGCCACAGCTCGACTAACCTGTTCATCTACTCGTCTCGGGTTCACTGCCTTCTTAGCAGTTTCTCTAGCAGCCTGAACCGCTCTGCGAACCGGCTCGCTCGTGGGATGAAGAGAAGTCACAAGACTCCCTGAATCCCACTCACCGGACTTAGCATCACCAGATCTAAACGAGTAAGCACCATACCCTTGCTTACGACCTTCATGCCAGGCTCCTTCATAACAATGACCATTAGCAAAACGATACACACCAAACCCATGAATCTTGTCTCCAAAATACTCTCCTGCATAACAATCTCCATTTCTACAAAAAAAATATATGCATTTTTAATAATCACATTTTCAACAATTTTAGTCAATATTCTTAGTATTTCTTTTTTTTTGAATGAGTATATTCTTCGTATTTCAACATAAACAAAATGATTTTCAACAGAATAATCACATAGAAAACACATAATTACCATCTAATAATTTACTCTTACCGATTTCTTGAACATTGATTATGGTTAAATCACAAAACAATTTGTTTACCTGAAATGGTAAGATCCAAGCCCATGTTTGACACCAAATCTTGACTCACCAACATAAGAGCTGCCATCAGCACAAGACTGAACACCAAAGCCATGGCTTTGACCATTAAGCCACTCACCAGCATAGCAATCACCAGTGTAGAATCTATAAACTCCATAACCATGTCTAAGACCTTGCCTATACTGACCTTTATACCTACTTCCTCTAGCCCAGCTCTCGATCCCATGACCATCGTATCTCCCATCCACCCAATCACCTTCGTACCTTCCTCTAACGAAGTAGTAATACACACCACTCCCATTACACTTCCCTTTGTGAAACTCCCCTTCGTAGAAATCTCCATTACTATAGAACTGCACACCTTCTTTCACAAACCGCTTGGTTTTCTTATCCGGTTTGGTTTCCGTATCCCCGATGTACCATTTAACCGGTTTAGACCGGTTCTTGCTCTGAAAGCCTAGGCTTTTAGTGGTTTCGTCGCAGATTTGCTTGACCGCGAGTACCGTCCGGTTTAGACGCGCGATGTTCTTGGAGGCGAGGAAGAGAGCGACGGCGACGAAGATCAGAGCTAAGAGGAGATTCTCGGAGGTGAGAAGCTCTTCGGTTTGGGAGAACACGACGAAGAAGAAGAAAGACGAGAGGCTAAGGAAGGAGAGGGAGACCATGGTGAAGGCTAGACCCGGGTTAATCCGGTTTAACCCGGTTCGAGGACTTGAACCGAACGGTTTAGGCGGTTTTCTTCTCTGTTTCTCTTCTTTCTCTCCCGCTTCTAGATCTTGTTTCTGGTGAGAGTCTTCGTTTAAGCTGAGAAAAGACGACCGTACCGTCGACGATGACCGGAGCAGCGATGACTGTGTCCTCGTCAGCTTCGCCTGTCCTTCCATCTCTTACCAAAACTCGAAACACAATTACAAAATAAATAATAAAAAAACACGAAAGTGCCTCCGGTCACAACCTCGGTTCTCGATATCTCCGGCAATACACTAACCGCCACGTCACCTTCGTAACAAGCATCACGGTTCGTATCTAATAGAATGATTTTTATGCTATCCACGTTTATCAATTTCCCGGTGCCGGAGAAAATTTTCACGGCGAAGCTCAGTGTGTTATAGAGAGAGAGGGGGGAGGAGAGTGGAAGAGAACAGGTTTGGTCTTATTTTTAAAGGAGAGAGAGAGAGAGAGATAGAGATGAGATTAGATTTATTTTTGTGAACCGTTGGATTATAATCTGACGGTTGATTTACCATAGAGGTTAAGGAGAGCCGTTGGATGCGAGGAAGAGAGGCTCCCCTGTCATGACGGGAATATATTGGTCGACGGATCCAAACATGAACGGTTTTTTAGCTTTACTGTTGTAAAGATGGCACGTGCCTCTACACACACTGTCACAGATTCGTATATTTAACTTTTCTTTTTTCTCAATTTTTTTTTTGGCTCTTAAGTAATTAAATTTTTAAAGATTGATTTGCAGAAAAAGTTTCTGCTTTCTACAGAATTTATTTTCTTTGTTTTTAAATGGACAAAACAAAATCTTATTTGGACATCAGATGATTTACAATTTATAGTTTTTTCCCTCACTGTATGTTTCAACATGTCACATTTTGTTTGAAGCTAAAAAATACCTAGAACAACGTATTGAATTTGAATATTTTGAGTGTCCATTGTAAATAGCGGTTTCACTTTTATTATATTTGTATTCCAATATATGATTATATCTTTACAGAGATTTATAATAAATCATACATAAGCACATAAAATTTTAGCCTTATTTAGACTAATCTGAAGTGGGGGGGGGGGGGGGGGGAAACAATGCTCTTTAGGTTAGATGAAATTTATCAACTTTGTATAAAAATAATATTTTTAATAAATTATCCTTAATAAAAGAAGAAAGAAAAAAATAATAATTATCTATAATAGTCTAATGGTAACATAATCTGCTTTTATCACACAAAAAAAAACTAGTCCATTAAGGATCAAAATAGCCAAATTAATCTTATATATTAAAATTGAAGTTATAACCTTGATTCATGTATGATTTTTAAAATCTAAAAATAAAATATTTGTAACTACTTTAATCATAATATATTTTAATAATTTTTGTATTAAATATGAATATACATTCAAAATTACAAAATATCTGCTGAAAAATATTTAACAAGATCTTAACTTTTAAATTATGTAAATATTTCACTTTCGAATTAGTAAATAATATAATTATACATTGATAAGCATATTTAGTTATATTTTATAAAATAAAAAGAAAATAAAAATTCTATCTTTTTATCTATTTTTTATAAAATTATAATGTATCATAATAGTCTAATGGTAACATAATCTGCTTTTATCACACAAAAAAAAAACAAGTCCAATAAGGATCAAAATAGCCAAATTAAGCTTATATATTAAAATTGAAATTATAACCTTGATTCATGTATGATTTTTTTAAAATCTAATAATAAAATATTTGTAACTAATTTAATCATAATATATTTTGATATCTTTTTGTATTAAATATACATATACATTCAAAGTTACAAAATATCTGTTGAAAAATATTTAACAAGATCTTAACTTTTAAATTATGTAAATATTTTACTTTCGAATTAGTAAATAATATAATTATACATTAACATATTTAGTTATATTTTATAAAATAAAAAGAAAATAAAAATTCTATCTTTTTATCTATTTTTTATAAAATTATAATGTATCATAATAGTCTAATGGTAACATAATCTGCTTTTATCACACAAAAAAAAACAAGTCCAATAAGGATCAAAATAGCCAAATTAAGATTATATATTAAAATTGAAATTATAACCTTGATTCATGTATGATTTTTTTAAAATCTAATAATAAAATATTTGTAACTAATTTAATCATAATATATTTTGATATCTTTTTGTATTAAATATACATATACATTCAAAGTTACAAAATATCTGTTGACAAATATTTAACAAGATCTTAACTTTTAAATTATGTAAATATTTTACTTTCGAATTAGTAAATAATATAATTATACATTAACATATTTAGTTATATTTTATAAAATAAAAATAAATAATTTTTTATCTTTTTATCTATTATTTATAAAATCATAATGTATCATAGTAAAAGAAAATTACTATAGTAGATCTATATTAAATAAAAAAATTAATCTATTTTATTTTCATAAATAGAAAATATTAATCTTAAAAATATAATATGTTGATAGAACAGGTTAACATTAGTATTTATATAATACATGTATAAAATTAACATATAAAATTTATATATAAAATACTATATTATCTAAATAAACATAAAAGTTTGCTAATTTAGTATAAATTAAATATTAAATAATTTTCAAACTTGATTTTTATGCATATATTAGTTTATTTAATAATCTAATGAAAATCCAATAAAATAAATGTATAATAAAAAAATATTGAAACAATTGTTATTAACATCTGAATTATAAAACTATTGTGTTTGTAATAATTCTATAAACATTTAAATATATGACTAACATCACTAAAATATAAAATAAATGTTTATGTATATAAAAATAAAAATAAAACTTGCGGGGTTGCGAATGTCAATATCTAGTTTTCATTAAAGAGGTACATATCAATTATATTTTTATCGATATATTAAATTAAAAAATAAATAAAAACTATTTTTATTTTATTTTTGAAAAAACAAATTGGCAAACCTTTTTTCTGTGAAAAATAAGGAAACCCTTTCTCAATGTGTATGATATCTTTTCAAATTTGAATTATATGCATATTTTGGGAAAACATTACTTTGTAAATATAATATCTTCCTAAATTTTAGAAATATAAGGATAAATATGTATAATATTTTCATCAAATTTTGGATCTTACTATTTATTTAAAATAAATTTAATTAAATATATGTTTAGGAATAATTTCATATGTACATATATTTTATCAATACATACTGAATTTAAACTATATATGCATATATATAAGATATTTTTGAATATGTATATCATATTCATAAAGTTTCAGCAAGTCTTTTATAAATTTGATATCTAAATTTTATGCAAATATTATATATATTTAAAATATATTTATATATATTTAAAATGTTATGTATTCAGTAATATGTTTCTAAATATGCATATAAGTCAAATTTACGAAGAAAGACTTTCCTAAATATACTAATAAAGTTATATTCAAGAATTCTAATTACACATTTAGAAAGACTTTCCTAAATATACTAATAAAGTTATATTCAAGAAGTCTAATTATACATTGATCAAAGAATTCATGAATTCAATTTTTTTTTTGAAAAAAAATCTTCAAGATATCATTCATATGTAGACAGATATTTCTAAACCATTGAAAAAAACATTTTCAAAAAAGTTTACAAAGAAATTTTTTTAAAAAATTTCAAAAAATTAAAAAATACTAAATTCAAAATAATATTTTTTAATCTTAGTATTTTCGATTTAATACTTATTTATTTTAATATATTTAATAACCAATTAAAAATATTATAAATGATGATATAATTGTTATTTGCCCATTTAATGAAATCTAATTTAGTCATTTTGACATTTAGGTCTAGCTAGTGAAGAAAAAACAAAAACAAAATGTTATATAGGAGATTTGCTCTAAATCATACCTAAGCCAGCTGTATGGTTTATGTTTTGAGTTGGTGTGATAATTTAGGAATAGCGTATAATTCAAAAGTTTAAATTTTGAGTAATTTGGTTTTAAACTTGGTGTTAGGTTCACTTTTAGAACACATATACGACCAAATAATATGACTTAATTTGGAATGGGAACAAAATTTTGCTTTGAAATTTAATCAAGTTTTCTTCCGGTTAAAATAGAAATGAGTTTATGCTCTGTTTCATAATCAACATACTCCACGTCACCACCACCAATATGGCAGCTCTACTATTCATGCATGTACAATAGTTATAGTTTGTTATCAACTTATGTGTATTAACATTCAACAACGTCGATGAATTCATTTTATTTTTAGTAAGAAATCTGGTTGGTGATCTGCCAACAGGATGGTTGAAATCGAGTAATTACACACGAAATTGTTATTCTTTTGTCAAAACAAATACTAATGGCGAAGAAAATAACGAAATGGGAGTTGGATCAAATCAAGTTATTGTGTGAACAAACCATTTCTCACCAAACATCCCGTTTGGTGTTAGGAAGTGTATAAATGAATAAACTTTGGTTGTTCTGTAAATAATAAATGAAACATAACTATATAACCGAACAATATATATTTTATGAAACGACATAGAGACGTACTTGTTAAAATCAGACAACAATAGGATAGTTGTCATGATATTATCTCCATTTGATATCGTTTAAATCGATGAATGATTACTACGTTTCTTTAATTAAACGATGACTACTTATTGATTGCTAACGACATTTGGATTTAAAATGGATCCAAACAGTAATTACATGTAAAACCAACGTCTGTTTCAACGAATCTAAAGTCAAAACTCTGTGTATTCACGTTCATGTAACTTTCGGCTTCGGTAAGGACAATTATAACAAAGACATGCGTGAATTGGCATATAGTTATTTTGTTAGAAATTATCACACATTAAAAAGCTCATAGTTTGTATCTTGTTTGTTTCTTACTTGTCAAATGTATTCTCATGTGTATCAAACTGAAACTCTTGTCCACAAGGATTGCAAATGTAATTTGTATATGCAAAACCTATCACCTGATGTTTTTGTGGCCGGACCACAATATTGAAACAAAAACCAAATGCCGGTATATTTAGTGTGGTAATTAATAGATTTTTAATATGGAGTTTGGTCTGCATGTAAAGTAATATGGTGGCCATCTATTCTGAATCCTTGTGGTAAGATATTCAATTTTCCATCTTTTTGGACTAAATTTATCCTTTGTTGTTATTAAATTCTTCGTTCTCTTTTGGTAACTGGATTTCAAAAGTATTGTTTTTTTTTTCTTTTTGAAAAGTTTGAACTTTCTTAGTTCACTTTTGGTCTTAATGAAAAAAAAAAACAAAAGAGCACCGGCGTAAGCAAACATTTCATTACTTACACATGACAAAGGCTTTTTGGATACACATGCTAAAGTTGATAAGAGAACATGACTTCGTGTATATTTAATATAATAGATCATCAGAATTATAAATTTCCTTGTACTGTTATAAAAGTTAAACGTTATTGTTTATTTTTTTCTGTATAATAGATTAGAGACAGATCCCTATTACGTACAATTGTAATACAAAAATCTCGCAATGCAACATTCTCACAAAGTAGTTTCCACGATTATGCATCGCGGTCGATGAAATAAATAGAAACAAGAAGTGTGATGTGTTGTTAACTGTAGTATAAGTGCTGCCGATAATGTTGTAGACACTAAAGAAAATGTAGCCAATTTTGAGTAATTTATTAATGAACAAATTAAATGACTAAACGATAGTATTACTTTAAAATTGCTATGTGGGTTTAGTCAATGATAAATTACGTGGATATGGTAAATAAATCGTAGTACTCAATTTATGGTGGCTTTAGGATATATCCGGCTAATTGAATAGCTGGGATTCTAAACAATTCAATTACAAATTATATCATTATTGGCCTCAATATACCTTTTAAACTAGATGTTGTGCCCGTATATGCGGGCATAATTTTCTTACGAATATTTATTATTTGTTGTTTAATTAATTCTAAAATAACATTATAAGTTATTTTCTATAGTTTTAAAAAACCTAAATCAAACATTAAAATATTTTTATATGATTTTTAATTCATCAAAATATATATGCTTATTATAGTGTTAAAAAAATCCACATAATAAAATAGTTTTGAAATTATATTTATATTTTTTCTTAATATTTAATTTTAAATTGTTTAATAACTTACATTTTTATTTTTCACAATAAAAAATATTATTTTCAGATAACTGTATAATATTCTATAAGATATCTTATGTTTTAAATATGCATGAATGTAGATAATTATCCTATTAATTTATAATAAATTAACTAATATAATAACATATAAATTTATATCACTAACATAAAATTTGGTTTTAACTAATTTATATATAAATATATAAATTTCATTAAAGGTATCATTAACTTGAACCATTCCAATTTTTAATACCTAATATTTAATTATATAACTAAAAATATCTTTATACAAATATTTTTGTTTGATTAATATTTAATTAAAATCGATTTTATATTTTAATTTTTAAATTTTATAATATAATGATATTATTTTTAAAAGCCAAAATAATTTTATAAAATAAAATTAAGATCTATAAGAATTATCATGTTGTTACAATATTATATTCAGATAATAATAACATATATAAGAAATATCTTATTTTATTTTTTTATAAAATCATTATATTAATTATTCTTTATTATCTAAGATAATAACATACTGTACTTATCTAGTTTTATTTTTTAAATTTCGTTTTTAATTATAAAATTAGTTATATATAAAAATTTCATTAAGGGTAAAATATATATTAACCGCTCTAACTTTTAACGTGAGAGCTCCGTTGCGAAAAATTACTTCGCAAATAATAGTATAGATAGATTATAAAAATCCAATTTTACAGATTTTGAATATCAATTCGGATTATCCAGTTAGAAAAGCGTTACCTTAGTTGCATGTATAAGAAGATTGTTGGACATATAATTATGGGAAGCAGATATTAATCACAATCATTCTGAATGTCTTTTCTTCCGTTGCTTTCATAGGCAAATGACATAGTTCTCCTCCATGTCATTCTTACCTACTATGATACAACAGGAAACAAACATATTTAGGGCTTTCACGTTATACCCTATATTAATTTAGTGTATTTGTTTTCTGTTATAACTTTAACAACTACGACAGTGGCAAATCAACATATTATACAAAAAAAAGTTTGACAAATCACATTTGTTTTGCAGAAAATTGTAAAAAAAAGGAAAAAACATCTCAAAACATAAAGAAAATGTAAAGGTTGTTGCATAGGCCTAGCTTGTAGCATCCATCATGAAAGACGTGAAAGATAGAAAGGCATTGTTACTTAGCACAAGATCTAGTTTTTTTCTTTTCTCTCTCGATAATAACGTTGAAATCGAAAAGACATACAAGATTACTTGTTTTAGTCTCCAATCAAAATGACAGCAGCATACACTCACGAGTCAGGAGATGGTTGGTTTTGCAAAATCTAGTTACATACATTCGTGTCTCGCCACCTTCTGTAGGTTAAACGAAAACTCTTTCCTATTGCTCGAGTGTTTCCTTTTCTCTGTATTTCCATTCATGGGAAATATATTTTCTTGTATGTATAGTGTATAATACTGGCACATATTGAATATACAAGATATATTCTTCCGCATCTTTTGTGCTATATACAACGATCAAAACTCTACCAACTTGGGAAAGTTCGTCTTCTCCTTTTATACATGCATGTATAATGTATAATGTATTGAAGCCTTCTCTTAACGACTCTATCAGTCACCAACTTGCAAACAACTTAAACGAAGAAATTGACTTTAGATGAGTCTAGCTAAGCCCAATATTTTGATTAGAGGGCCAAAAGCCCAAGAAATGAGATAGAAGGCCATAATACTTTTACGTGTCAAAAGAGCAAGATATATATATAAAAGGATTTTTAGTAATTTAAACCCTCAACTAAAGATTAATCGTAAAACAAACCCTCAACTAAAAATCTTGTGAAATAAACCCTCATCTTTATGTCCGTTAATGTTTTCGCCCCTCCGTAACTTTTTCCGTCAACTTTTGACGGAGAAAGGTTAAATGTTGACGAAAAGGTTACGGAGGGGCGAAAACATTAATGGACATAAAGATGAGGGTTTATTTCACAAGATTTTTAGTTGAGGATTTATTTCACAGGATTTTTAGTTGAGGGTTTTTTTTACGATATATCTTTAGTTGAGGGTTTAAATTACTAAAAATCTTTTTTTTTAAACAATCCTATAAGTATTGATTATTTAGTGATTTTAGGACCGATTTTACTTTTAATACAAACTCATTTTTTTGTCAATGAGACCTCGCATTCCTTCGGTAAATCTAACTTGTAGCTTTATTTGTTTTCATGTTCGCTCTTTCACAAACAAACAAAAAACTTATTTTTGAGATTAATGTTTGGTTTAGGTTTTGCATTAGTCAATTTGTACAAAGGAACAACCTAAGACCGGAGTTTAAAATTCAGGTATCCGATCTTCATTTTGGTGAGGAATCCACATTAGCTCAGACAACAAATTAAGTGGACCAATCTCCGTCAATTCGTTCTTTTTTCTCTAACAAATTATCTCAGTATCTCAATGCTATGGTAAAACCTACGTCAGCGTGTTCATCTTTCAGTGGTCGTCCTATAAGGACAGCGACTTTAATGCCATTTTCAGTGGCTACATCACTCAAACCAGTCACTCATGCATTTCCATCCGACCCACCAACCAATCTTAAAAAGACAAAAGGTAACTAAAATATAACTTTTCCTGATTTAAGTTATAGATATGTTAGAAGCGTTCACTGAACAACCATTCTACACATTAACTGTGGTATTATTTCTGTATTTATTTATGTTTATGTTAAAATTAGTAAGTTCTCTTTTAGCATTGAGAGACTGAGATGATTTGTTAGAGAAGAAAGAACGAATTGACGGAGATTGGTCCACTTGATTTGTTGTTTGAACTATGTGGATTCCTCAACAAAATGAAGATCAGATACATGAATTTTAAACTTCGGTCTTAGGTTGTTCTTTTGTACGAATTGACTAATGCAAAACCTAAATCAAACATTAATCTCAAAAACAAGTTTTTTTTTGTGAAAGAGCGAATAGGAAAACAAGAATAGCTACAAGTTAGATTTACCCTCCTTCGAGATCTCACTGACAAAGAAAAGTGAGTTTGTATTAACAGTAAAATCAGTCAAAAAATTACTAAATAATCAATAGTTATAGGATTTTCTCAAAAAAAGATTTTTAGTAATTTAAACCCTCAACTAAAGATATATTGTAAAACAAACCCTCAACTAAAAATCCTGTGAAATAAACCCTCAACTAAAAATTCTGTGAAATAAACCCTCATCTTTATGTCCATTAATGTTTTCGCCCCTCCATAACCTTTTCGTCAACAGTTAACGTTTCTCCGTCAAAAGTTGACGACAAAAGTTACGGAGGGGCGAAAACATTAACGGACATAAATATGAGGGTTTATTTCACAAGATTTTTAGTTGAGGGTTTGTTTTACGATTAATCTTTAGTTGAGGGTTTAAATTACTAAAAATCCAATATAAAACATGAACAAGTAAACCACCACAAGCAGCTGTATGATTCCGGTTCGGTTAACAGAACAAATCCGTCCCAAGTAAGTCACTCCTCAGGTCTTACCCGACCCGACTTGTTGATTTATCACTGAAAGGCTGAACGCTTGACTTTGCTGCTGTTTTTTTGATCGAGTTTTCTCTCCAAGTCGAATTGAGAAAAAGGTACTTTGCTCATTCTTCGTTCCTAATCGGATCCGTGACATTAGCTTATATATGTGATGTATTTGATTTTGTTGTCGTTTTATGTTGTTATGTGTGTCTCTCGTGCTCTAATTGTGTCTTCTTCTTCTTCAGAACAGAATGTTCATTGCGAGCCACTTTAATGGCTGATTCTGTTTCTATAGAAAGTTTGAAAATTTTTCAATAATCCTTGCTATTTGCTTAGTTCCACCCCCTGATTGTGCCAAAGCTTTAGGCTTTCTTTGGCTCTACATCAAAAAATGTGAACAAAGTACCTTTTTTGAGTGTGTGTGTTATCTGAGTTATAAGATATGTCAGGTGAAAACGTTAACAGCTCTTGTAAGATGGGATTGGGACCTCAAGGGAATGAGAAACACCTCGAGGAGTGCACCGTTTCCAAGTTAGTTTCTTCCTTCCCTTTACTATGCTACTAACTGTTTGCTGCTAGTCAAATTAGAAAGGAACCCAGTTTCAGTGTTTTACTCGTTGTGATTTCATTTTGAGTCGTTAGTTAGTTATGTAGTCCACTCTAGTCTTGTTCTTAAACAGAGACATTTTTTGTATTTATATTCGAATTTTTGGGTGCAGTGCACTAGGGACGTGGGTGTTCTCAGTGCTAGGCGCATTGGTTGCTATCCCTGTGGGAATAAAACGAAAGTCACTAGGTCCACTCGTGTTCTTCGGCACAACCGGAACTATGCTCGACATCATCATTGGCGTGACTCAGTGCGAGAGAGAACACGCTGAACACCAAAAGAAGTTGCTCCAAGACTCTCAAAACGCCGCAACAATCATCAACGCAGACACCGATTCCATTTCCTAAAATTCTCTTCTTAATTACAGTTTCTTTTCTTTTCCAGTAAAAGAAAAGACTTTGTTTTTGTTATGATCAAAACTTGTTTCAGGACTCGTGTGTTGAGAGAACAAAGAAGACAGCTTTTATTTGATGATGATTTACGCAAAAATAAAAAACATCATGTTTTAAACCAAAAAAAGAAAAGGAAGATTCTGATGAGGTGGCATGAACTCTTCACACACCATCTCCTGCTCCGAGTACGAACCAGCGAAGATGAGCCAAGAAAGACAAGGACATGGACAAGCATATATATGATCCCAAGCCCCAACTTTACGTCTGCCTCTGGTTGCACTCTTCTCATCCGCTCCACCACCGCAGGCACCTGAATGATTCCGATCATAACAGTCAGGAAACATAGATGAGCTAAGAGGCTGAACTCCTTTGCCCACTGGAATGCAACGTGTTCTCCTCCGTCCTTAGTGTCCAAACCAGAGTGCCGTTTGCAGTATCTTGTGAAAATGTCGAGCAAGACTGCCATGTAAAAACGGTCTGTTACTCGGCCAATCTCGTCATGTAACTCTACAACTCCATCCATTGCGATATAGAATGAAGAATCTTGGAAGAAAGAAAACATAAAAGAAGAAGGAAGAAAGGGAGAGGTGGGTTTTTATCGGCAGCAGCGCATGAAGGTTTGTTTGGGCAACCTAACCATGGTTAACAATCTAGCTAGCACATTTTGGCATTTTCCTTAACGGCGTAAGTTAGTTAGACTAGTAAGGAACTCTACCAGAGACTACTTTCGTTATTAACCGTGATGAGACAAAGGTTCATTTTAGTTCCTTTATTATTAGTTATTGACCGCATCTTACTGCAACATGTTACATAATAGAATCCTCTCAACTATATTAATAATGATTAATCATATAGGTTATGTAACTACAGTACTGTAAACGAGATATGTAGACGCTCTTGCCGTATCTCACTTTGCAGCAAGAAAAGAAATAGCAGGGTTTTGTTAAACATATGGTTAATGATCTCTTACTTGCCATGGTTAAAGTTAACCACGTGCTATTATAGTTGGGCAAGTTTCAGTGATTGGTTATGGTGAGATTTGTTTTATGAATAAAAATATTAACATGTTATAATAGTCTTTATCTATATTCATGGTTTTTTTTTGCTTGTTGAACACTCGTGAAATAACAACTGTTACCAATTCAGTTTATAACTTTATTCATAAACTTATATGGAAATGAATTCATGAGGCAAGAGAGTCTCATCTGACAGCTTCTGTATTTACTATACAAACGATGCCTTCTCGTAAGGCAAATAATAAGAGCTATGATAAGACTACTGATATTAAAACACAATCATGTTCATCCAACGAATCTGAAACTTAAACGGACATTTTATTTATTTATTTATCAAGGACCTGACGGATAAACCTTGTACCAATGAAAAAACAACTAGAAAAAGGCCAAGAAACGAAGAACAAATTATAAAGAAGAAAGCTTTGTAGTCCGATGAACAGATCTAAACGACGTAGTTTCAAAGAGAAAGGCATATACTCTCACGAAAAGGAAGGAGTCAGCTTAGCGGAGAAGGCGAGGGAGGCCAAGAGGAAGATAGAACCAAACACAAGATGCGTGTCGCAAGCCTCTCTTGTCCTCCGCATGCGTCCCAGCACCACCGGCGTTATACTGATTCTGATGACCACCAGCATGAAAAACATGTTAGCCAACTTGTTGGACTCCGAGGCACATCGTCCCGTCGTCTTCGGATCTAATTTCAGCTCGTGTTCGTTGTACATGGTGAATATGGCGAGCAGGGTTGCCACGAGTTGACGAGGGATTAAACGACGTAGCTCTTCACGTTCATCCATTGCAGTGAGAGAGAGAAAGAGAGAAAGAAAACAAGAAACGAACTTGTTTGTTGCTTGCTGCGTGTGTATGTGTGTAGTACGTTAAAGAGTGAATCGGTTTATGAGCGTGGGTTTATCTAACTTAACCATGGTTAAATTTTGACCGTGTGTCATGGTTTATAATAACCGTAACTTTCTTTAGATAAAGTTTCAAAGCGTAGAGGTGATGACTAGGCTTAGACCAGGCTGGATGGAAGGACAAACGGACCTCTTGGCCTCACACCGTACCGTACGTAGTAGAAATGGTTTTATGATATACCGGTTCAGAAGTTAACCGGGAACCGGTCATTTGGTTAAATAAACTGTTTCCTGGGCTGAAAACACTTGTGCGTCTTTAATGGGCTTCACATCCGTTGCTATTGTTTACATTTGAGAACCTTGTCCACCTGTCCCTTTACTTGTTTAAAATTTCAAGTTATCCTCTTATTCATCTAATCCCTCACCAATCTTATTATATAAATCAACATGATCGTGACACATGTCAATTATGTGTTTAAGATTGTGACATGTGAAGTTTATTTCATAATTAAAAATATATATATACTAAGATAATAACAAAAACAAATTTTGTTTAAAAAATAATTATAACTATTATCTAATAGTAGTTTTCCATTTTTAAAACCCTAAAACAATAGATAATTGTAAAAGATTAGTTGATAGTAGTTTTTCTTTTAGCATTGTGACATGTGTTAAAATATATAATAATAAAAAAATTTTATTAGTCAAAAGTAACTTTAAAAATATTTAATAGTATTTTTTTTAGAAATTTTACTTTCTAAAAATCCTAAACAATTTTTTTTTTGAAAAAAAGTTATTAAAGATTTTGAAAAATAATTTGTAAAAGAATTGTATTGAGCTTGATTCTTCAAAGTTGTTAATTAACATGATTGTAACATACAACATTTATATATTTATTAATTATAATTATTATCTAATAGTAATTTTCCATTTTTAAAACCTTAAGAAAAACATAATTGTAAACGTTTATTTGATACTAATTTTCCTTTTAATATTGTGACATGTAATAAAATATATAGTAATTAAAAAAATATATAATAAGATAATAAAAAAGAATTTTAAAAAAGTAAATTTAAATTTATTTATTATTCAAAAGTAACTTTAAACATTATTTAATAGTATTTATTAGAAGTTTTACTTTTCAAAAATCCTAAACAAAAACAAAATTTGAAAAAAAGTTGTAAAAATTATCGAAAAATAATTTTTAAAGATTATATTGAGGTTGATTGTTCAAAATTGCTAATTAACATGATTGTGACATATGAAGTTATATATTTATAATTGTGATTTGTGTTAAATTATATCATAATTAACAATAAACATACTAAGACACTAAAACTGATTTTTTATAAATTATAATATTATTTAATAGTAATATTTCATTTTTAAAATCTTAAGCAAAATATAATTGAAAATAATTATTTGATAGAAATTTTGACATGTTTTAGAATATCTCATGATTAAAATATATATACAAAGAAAATAGTAAAACAAATTTTGAAAAAATAATTTTCATATTATTTATTTTGAAAAAAATTCGTTTTCAAAATAATTTAATAGGCATTTTTAGGAAATTTCGTTTTTAAAAATCCTAAAGACAAAGATATTTGTAAAATGATTATTTAATACTAGATTTCCTTTCTAAAATCCTAAAAAAAAAGATAATTGGAAAATATTATTTGATAGTATTTTTCATTTTAAATTTTTGTTATGTGATAAAATATCTCATGATTAATAAAATATATAATAAGATGATAAGAGAAATTTTCTAAACAATAATTAATTATTTAGTTGTATTTTTCTCTACTTTTTTATTTTTAAAAATTTAAACAAAAAATATTAGTCAAATAATTTATTTAATACCAATTTTCTTTTTCTAAAAATTCTAAATATAAGTGCAAGAAAAGAAAATATTTAATAGTAATTGTCATTTTCTAACATCAAAAACGTAAGAAAATTGTAACAGAGTATTTAAGTAGTTTCTTTTCTTCAAATCCTAATCAAAATATTTTTGAAATTAATTCTAATATTTTTATGAATAATCCCTTTTATAATTAAAATACTTGATATTTTTTTTTATAAATTATAAACCAAAAGAAGCTACAATTATTCACACACACACACACACACCCATATATATATATATATATATGTGTGTGTGTATGATTAAGTTCTCTCATGTTTTTTCACTTCTCATATTTAGCAAATATAATAAGAGATATAAGAATAATATTAAATGAGTTTTTCAGCATATTCATTCACATCTTCGTGTGATCTACTCTTTTTTTGGTATCACATGTAGAAGAAATAACATGCGACATCATAGTTTTCACATTAAAGTGATGTTGATTTTTTTTTTTAAAAATAGATATATTATTATCATGCTGTCGTACATTAATTACTGTCATAATTATACTTAAGCGTTGGTAAATGTTGTTTTATGTAAGTTTAATGGTAATGTGACTATTATGCTTATGTGTATTTGTTCTTATCGGCATATAAAATTGGTTATGCTATTGTAGATCATGATATTACATAATTAAAATAAAAGAGTATGACTATCAAGAATTAAGGTTAAACCTTAAAAGGTTGGTCTATATTTATCAAGTCCAGTCTTACATTTATACATCACACTATCAAGAGTCACTACAACTCTATAGTTTCAGATTTTTAAAACATAACGACAATAGTCACACTATAAATGCTAAAGTAAACATATTTGATTTTTATTCAGCAATATACTCCCTCCGTTTTGATTTATTTGTCGTTGTACAATAAAATTTTTGTTTTAAAATAAGTGATGTTTTATAATTTCAATGCAAAATTTGTTAGCTTTATCTGCTATTCTATTTTTATATTGGTTGAAAGGTGGTTAGGTGTATACTTAATTGTATTTTTATCTCAAAAATATGTAAAAATAAATGTTTTCTTAATCTGTGTGCAAAAATATAAAACGACAACTAAAATAAAACGAAGGGAGTATTATATTTAGCTGGCTAGGAATAATATGATTGGTGTCGTGTAGTTTTAATATTTTTAATTGTGTTGTTTTTAGTTTGCCTTAAACAAGATAAATAATATTGGGAGTTCATAGTTATATGTGTTTCAATTAACTACAACTATTATTATTTTGAAAATCATTAAAATATTAATATATTATTTAAAATACTATAATTATTGAAATAGAAATATCAATAAAAATTTATGTAGGAAACAAATTCTTATTACTAAAATTAAGACCAATATATACTGAAAAAATTCAAGAACTAAGAGTATCTCCAATCCATTGTTATTTTAATCTCAATAATGAAATTGCTCCAATCCACCTCTATTTCTTTCTCTATAATAGAGATTTCTATCGTTTCAAAAAAAGAGATTTCGATTTTTTTCTCTATTTATAAAGAAAGAAATACCAATCCTCTATTTTATTCTATATTTAGAGATTGCTATTATAGAAGAATATATTAGAGCATATCTAATCTTTATTATAGAGTTCATTTTTTTTAGAGTGAAAATAAAAAAATCATTGGAAATGGTCTAGTTTGAAAAATATTTCATTTTTATGTATCCGCCAAAATTAAACATCATATAAAACCCGTGCAACGCACAAGTTCATATATAGTCTTATTATATAAATCTTGGTTTTCAAAGTTACTAATTAACATGATCGCGAAACATGACAATTATATATTTAAGATTATGACATGTTTTAAATAACAATTTTTCTTTTAAAAACTTAAACCAAAAGAATTTAATAGTTAGTTTTACTTTTTTTAAAAATCTTAAACATAAACTTTAAAAAGTTAGTTTCCCTTTTGTAAACAATCTTAAACAAAAACTGTAAAATTATATTCCCATATAAATAATATTTAATAATAGTATTTTTTTCAAGTTACTCATTAAGATGATTATGAAACATGGAAATTATATATTTAAGATTATGACATATGTTAAACAACATGTTTTATTTTATTTTTTTAAATCTTAAACCACAAAAATATAAAAACAATCTAAAAAGTTAACTTTCCCTTTTAAAAATTCTTATACAAAAATTGTTTTTTTAATCTTTCCATATAAATAATTTTTTAACAATAGTATTTCTTTTTTAAAACATGGGTTTAAGATAATTACAAGCTTGGTTTTTCATATTTGCTAATTAATATGACTGCGATACATGAGAATTATATATTTATGATATGTGTTTAATAACAATTTTCCTTTTAAAACAAAATTTAAACCAAAATAATATAAAAATAATCTAAAAAGATAATTTTCCTTTTTAAAATTTCTTAAACAAAGAACGTTTTTAATATTTCCACAAATATAAAATTTTAAAAATATTATTTCTTTTTGATAACATGGTCTAAGATAATTGAGAATAAGCATTATTTTAAGATAAATTTCTATACAAATTAAAATATTTACAGAATATTTTTCTTATAAATATTTAATAGTATTTTTTCTGTTGAAAATATTAAGCCAAAGAGAATAGTAATATTTTAGAGGGAAAATGCACATTTAATTCCCCAAGTATTTGAAATCGGCAGTTTTAATACTCAAGTATTGCTAACGCAGAATTATTCCCCAACTAATAGTTAACTGCGCGAAATTAGGAACAAAATAGTTAACCATTAACTAGTTAACGAAAAGATAACGGTTTCCGTCAACTTTTTAACGGCTGACAATTTCATTCCTAATTTCACACAGTCAACTATTAGTTGAAGAATAACTCTGCGGAAGCAATACTTGAGTATTTAATTTTCCGATTGAAAATACTTGAGGAATTTAAAACATCAATATTTTTTAAATATATATAATTTTTAAAAAATCAAGTAAAATACAATCAATATACGATATTTTTACTTTTTAAAAAAGATTTTTGAGGTTTTACAATGATATGTACAATAATACAAATAATTATAGTTGCAGTTTATTGTTGATGT